TGGAAGTGGCTACAGGAGCCCGAGTTTCAGAGAATGTCGGCTTTGCGGCTAGCAGGTTAGTCCATCCGTCCCGATCTTTCCATCTCCTCTCCGTATATATATATATATATCTATATCTATATCTATATCTATATCGATATCTATATATATATATATATAAAAGACGTTCCTTTTTTTCCCCTTTCTGTCTCCTTTCCCTCCCTCCCTTTAAGTCTCCTTTTTTGCCAATCTCTTTTAACGAATTAACGAAACAACTCGATATGATACGATACGACGCGTGTCGTTACGTCGTATCGTATAGTCTATGATATAATAATCAGCGTAAATATAACCATAACTTTCTAATCGAACGTGCTATCTCGTCTCGAACGTCGCGCGCACTCGCGCGCGCGTCAAAAGTTTCTGATTTCGCGTTGAAAAATATATATCGTTGTCGTTCCCCTAACTCGATCCGTGCCTAACTCGTAACTTTCCAACGTAATGAATTTATCGCGATTTCTCCACATCCATCTTCTTTTTTTTTCTTTTTTTTTTCCTCTCTCTCCTTTCGAAACTCTAAAGCTTTATAACTCCACGCCGAAAATCGCGCTTCCAAGCTTTCCGATTTAACCGAGTCTCCCGATAGGTTTAACTGACTAAAGGACGCTCTTCACTCTCGACACTGGAAAAAAACTAGACTCGAGAGACTTTCTCTCACTCACCCTTTAATGTTTTAGATATTAAATAAACTTCGAGTGAAATGTTCGCTATGTATATATACATATATACATATACGCGTTTGCAACGGGGGATACATACAGGGAGAGATATACGGTGTATATGCAGAGGCGTAAAATCGCGAAGGCGTAACGTAACGCCGCGGAACGGCGAAACGAGAGCCGAGAGAGTCGAGAATGTTTCGGATCCTGGGACCACGGACGAAATCNCGAGCGCGTGCACGACGCGCGTAAGAGACGCGGGCGGAAGAGCACACGTGGCACCCACGTGGAGAGGCGTTCCCTTCCATATCATTCAGAGATAGACGCGCGGAATAACACTTTTCGAATTCAACATCCTTTGCCCCGGCACAACACCGCGTACAGGTATTGATCGTGGTCACGCGGTGTTGGCCATGGCGCGCATGCGCGACCTCGCCGACGCCATGTTGGCCATGCCGCCGCCACGCTGTCCGCCATCCCCTCTCCCGCCCACCGCCAACCCTTATTCGCCGCCGCGTTATCTACGCGATTTCGCGCCCGCGTGCGTGCACCCGCTCGTCGCGCGTTCCCCCTCATTTCCCACGCGTTTTTCGCGTCGAATATGTCCCGAATATTCATTTCTTCGCTTCTTCTCGCGATTCCGTTCGACGAGAGAGAGAAGACTTTCCAATCGTTGGATTAAACNCAGTTTTAGAGGAGGGAGCGAGGAAATCGAACAGCGTTTTTTTTTTTTTTTTTGATTAACGATCGATGATCCAAATGTCTAGCTTCGCTTTCTTCGATTGTACTCGAGTATTATTCGAGGTTAAATTAGATATTCGATGTTAAATTAGATATTCGATGTTGTAACTCATCTCAACGCGACACTTATATGATTCGAATCGAAAATTTTGTTTCTTTGTTCCCAAATTTAACTCTAGTTGACCACGAGATAGAAGATAGACGACGAGTTTTCTTTACATTCTTTTTTGCAAAGAATGTGAAGAGAGAAAGAGACAGAGAGAGAGAGAGAGGGGTCAGAAATAAGAAAAGCAAACTCGCGTTCAGGGAGGACAAACATTTCTCCTCAGGCATCGAGCTCTTTTCTCACCCTCCTTTCCGCCTCCCGTTCCTTTTGTACGGTAGCAAAGGCGTAAAGATAATGTCGAGAAGAGGGATAGAGGAGAGGGACAGTAACTATTCTGCAGCCAGTCGAACCTCTCTCTCTCTCTCTCTCTCCCCCTCTTCCCTCTTCCTCCCTCTTTAAAGGCTCGCGTAAGGGACGCCTGGCAGAGGGGAAGGAGGGAGGGAGGGTGGAAGAAAAGGTGGCAGTGGCAAAGGGTTCGTCGAGGAAGACAATACTCGGGGAGGAGGAGGAGAGGAAGAAGAAGAAGAAGAAGAAGAAGAAGGGTTCGATCCAGTGCCCTTCAGATTAGAAGTCCCCAGTTGCCATTGTTTCCCACGTTTCTCGTGTCTCGTTCCGTCTCCCCAAGTGTCGCCCCTGTCGTCTCATTAAAAACACGTTCGAAATGCTGGCGCGCGCGCGCGCGCGCGCTCAGTACAGGTGGTGGTGGTGGCGGCCACTCTCCCCTCTCCCCTCTTTCAAACTTTTCGTTCAAAAATTTCAACGCTCCCTTTCGTAATTTTTGTCCGTTACAATTTCTTTGTCGATTGTCCTTGTCTTCTTCTTCTTCTTTCTTTCGATATACGTTAAATTTTTTTTCCAAACGTTTAACGAAGAATCGAAGAAAGGCGACACAAAGCATGCACGAGTTGTGTGTAATGCACACAGCCTCGTAAATGATTCAGAGCTCGGGGGATCGATGGGAAAGCGGTGCTAATTCCAGTCCGGCGTATCTTCGTACGCTTCGCGATATAATGGGCGAGCGCGTAGTTGTAGTAATACACGTCGTATCGATCGTGCCGCGAACTTCGAGGAAACAAACGCGTTTCACCGCCGTTTTCTTCTTCTCTTTCGCGGTTGAAATCATCGCGATGGCCGAGCCTTCGAGGGAACGAGTCCAATTTAGATCTATCGGTTTTATATCTGTTATACTGTTAAAAAAAAAAAAAAAAAATACTCGAAGCATCGTATATCTTTTTTTAATTATAATAACAAGATTTTTCTAAATGTATCTCGAGCTCGATTAATTCGAATAATTTTTCGCTTCGATTCGAACGTATATTTTCGTATATACTTTTGACATAATCGTTTCGGTTTTTGTGTAATATTTCGTGTAAGGAGGGCAAACGATCTTCTCGATTCGACATAAAACTTTGAGATATCCTTTCGAAAATGATTCGGTACGACGTGTTTACCCGTAACAAGGTGTAATTTTAATGTTACTCTTTGATCGATCGTAAAATAGCATTTTTCCCCCCCTCTCTCTCTTCGTGCCCGATCTATTCGCGGAAAACGTCACTGGCGACCTCGTTATCACGCCCGACACGTAACCTTGCGGCGATTTCTTTCTTTCTCCCGAAAGAAGAAGAAGAAGAAGGAACAGCAAGCCGCTTAATTTAAACTTTGTTAACCGCGGTTTCGAGATTTTTTTTTTTTTAATTTTTCTTTCAGAGATTTCACGGTTAAATAAATTCGATCGATCCTACGAAATTAAAATTACTTTAAATCGTAGAATATTTCTCCAATATATAATTTCTTCCTTCCTTGTTCGATAGAAATTCCAATTAAAAATTAATCTTGTTGTTGTTAAATTTGTCCATTGCAAAAATGATTCGTTCGATAATGATTCGTCTCTCTCTCTCTCTCTGTTGACTGTCATTCGCGCGGTTAATCGCGCTCCATCGAAGTTATCGATCGTTGAAACGGGTCAGGTACATTAGTTACAGAGGCAACGGGACTCCCGTGTCCACGTATTATTTACTTTCCCCCACCAACAACCGTGTCATTATCCACTCCGATTTCGGTTCCCGTGCCAACATTTTTCCTCAACCCGACTCGAGTCGAAAACAATTTTCGCGCAATCTTTTTTCCATCGAGAATTAAGGAAAGAAAACGAATTCTTCATAATCTTCGACTCCACCTCGAAAATCGATCTTCCAATCCGGATAGGTGGCCCGTACGAATAAGAAATTACAGATGCGAGTGACAGCTGGGTGGAAAAGGTGTCGTTCGCAGGGTGGAGGATAAAAGGAGGGAGGACGTCAAGTGACGTCACGACGTCCCCTCGTGGTACCCGCATCATCTGTCGTCCGTGTGGTTCGAGGCGAGAAAGAAAGGAAAAAGGGGTAAAAAAATTTCGAGGAGAAGAGAGTGAATAGATTCGATAGATTTCGATTTCGAGGAGCGAGAAGAATTTCCTCCTTCGTCCTTCCCTCCCTCTTTCTCTTCTTCGTCCCTCCCTCTCTCTCTCTCTCTCTGCTCCCTCGTGACCTCGATTTCCAACGGTGGCTCCTCTGATAACGCCACCCCCTCCTCCCTCTTCCTGGCCGCTCGCCGCCAGCTGCTCCCGTTTCGATTCTATCCGATTCAGAGGTGTTGCGAGAGGGTGTCTTCGACGCTGAAACTTGTTCGGGTGGAAAGAGGTGGTGGCCACGCAGATTTTGGGTCGAATATTTACCTTCGAGTTTGAGGGGGGGGAGAGAGGATTTGTGGCTGCCTGATCAAGCAAGAAGCAACTGCCAACGCAGTTGGAGAAGATTTAGTTTCGAAGATTGGAGGAGGGGGGAAGATTAAGAATCCTTTTCAATTAAGATTTGAGAAAAGAAGAGGGATAGATTTTAAAAATTTCTTCTAATTTTTCAACATTTTTTTCTCTTCTCGTAGTTGAAAAAGGGATGAAGATAATGGATCTCGAATTCCATCCACAAATTCCTTATATATTTATAGCATAAGAACATATTTCTCCTTCCGTCTTTTTATTTTGGACGATGACTTCGTTCGATTCATCATCGTAAAGTAAATGGAAAAAAAAGAAAAAAAAATGGAGCGTTGTCGTTTCTTTTAACTAGATTTAAGGGGGCAGGAGAAGAGTCTCATGGGAGGAGGGGCGCTGGAGCACGTGCTGCACGCGTTTTCTCTCGCCTCTCGGACGATAAAGAGGGGGGAGGAGGAGGAGGAGGAGGACCGCCGCGGTTTCCGGCCCGTGGTCACAGGACA